GAAGTTCGTTTCATGCCATTCCTGACATGCCTTCTGTACATAATTGTTTCCCCACCTGTCAGAGTTCCATGAACCGGATGGCTATTCAGGCCCTGGAAAAGATGGAAACACGCAAGTTCAAGGCTAAGATCAAGGGTCAACGTGAGGCCAGCTGTGGAGCATCAGACTCCGTGAGCAGTAGTTCCACATCAGACTGTGCCATATGCCTTGAGAAATACATCGATGGCGAGGTAATTATCTTCATAAATGTTCAAAAGCTTGTAGGAAATAAAAAGACTTTAAAAAGGTGTTGCATACTGGCCAAATTTCCTCACTTGGTCTGTCAGTTCTCTAAAATCTATTCCAAAACCAAATTACAGGCAAACAGATTAAAGGAAAATGGCAAACCACTATTGCATGACCCTGGAAAATTAGTCATGCCTTCTAGTTTATTTTATTTTGGTTGATTTGGTTTATTCGGCAATGGACCTTTTTGAGGTTCTTGATAATGTTCAATGTTTTGGCCTCCCTGTGCTTCTTTTGTCTCAAAATATATGAAGACTAACGCTGGTGACATTTTTTTTATTCGTCTTTGTGGTTGTGTCATGCAAAAAAATAAAAGCACACAACAAAGAAATCAAGTCGTCTTAGATGCACAGAGGAAGTGGTGATATAAAAGGCTCAATGGCATCAAAGGGTTTTGTCTGTGATGATTAAGAAAAGCAACAAAAGCGGGGCGGAAAGGCAGAGGGAGGGGAGATGAGTCATGCTTGGGGACAGAGAATGACTTCTGTGGGTGAGATCTGAGAGGTTAGGCTTTCTGTCTGAAAGCACAGGAGTTCATCTCTTCGAAAGGGATTGAGAATGTTAGCATCTTGAGCACTGGCGCCATCTGCAGTTCACATGCACAATGTGGTATTTTTGCTTCTAAAGCAGGGGTGTCAAATTCTGCTTTTGGAGGGCCACCTTCCTTTTAAGTTTACTTCCAGCCCTAATTAAGCACACCTAATCAAGGTCTTCCAGATTACTAGAAACTTTCTGGCTAATGTGTTCATGCAGGTTAAAGTTACATTCTCCAGGGGTGCTTCTCATTTCTTGTTTGTGCATCCTTGTTTAAAAATAGTAGAGTCTGATCTAGACACCCCTGATCTAAAGCATGAAAACAGCTCTGTGACTTGGTAAAAGCATAAAATTGAGGCCCATGGTTGTCTGTTTTTGAGGGTTTGCAAATATTGCATTTCAGGAAGCTTCAAAATGTCATTGCAATAACTGGAAGGCCCACAAAAAATGTTAAGACCGACCTAATCTTCTCCTCCACATTTGCAGGAGTTGAGGGTTATCCCTTGTGCACACCGATTTCACAAGAAATGTGTGGACCCTTGGCTACTTCAGCACCACACTTGTCCACACTGCAGGCACAACATTATTGGTGAGCATCATAAACCGGCTAATAAACTTGTCAAGTATGTCTTAGTAATGGGTCTTGATTCAGTTAATTTTTTAACTGTGCATTTTTATTTTCTACCAGAACAAAAAAAGGGAAACCCAGGTGCCGTTTGCCTGGATCCAGGAAACCCAGTCCACAGCCGCCAGCAGAGAGTTGTCCTCCCGGTTCATTATCCAGGAAGGGTGCACAGAGCTGGGCAAGTGACGGCCTACCCTACACGGACCAGCATGGACCCCCATGGCAACCCCATCACTGTTTTAACAGTGGACCAGCACCCTGAGCAGGGCCTCTATCCTTCGCAATCTTCCTTTATACGGGGTTACCCTGCCCTCCATTTGGACCACACACTAAACCCGCACCATTGCGGCATGGAGCATCGTGGCCCTGCTTACCCACAAACCCATACATTCAAGCGGCCCAAATTCCATGGACGCAACTTTTCTCGTGCTGCCTGCTTTTCCCAGTACGAGACCATGTACCAGCACTACTATTTTCAGGGCTTGACCTTTCCACAACCTGAAGGACAGCCTGGTAACGGACTACACAAAGGTCACAGTCGACCCTTCCAGCCAGGACTTTTGTATCCTACTGTGGTGCACATGGCACCGGCTTCCTCTTCTCGTCTGGGTGACTCCGGAAGCACCTCAGGACTTAGTTGTTACCACGGGCACCGCTCTGTGTGTAGCGGGTACCTTGCGGACTGTCCTGGAAGTGACAGCAGCAGCAGTTCGGGTCAGTGCCACTGCTCCTCAAGTGACTCCATGTTGGATTGTACAGAAGTCAGCAACCAGGGCGTGTATGGAAGCTGTTCGACGTTCCGGAGTTCGCTAAGCAGTGATTACGATCCCTACGTGTACAGAAGTAAGAGTCCGTGTCGGGGATCGGCTGGGGAGGCTGGGACGCTGTTTTCTGCCGCCCCTCCAGCTGACGACACCTCGGCCCCAGTATCAGGGATGATGGACTGCCTACAACCTCCAGTTGGAGCGTGTTACAGTTCTGGGGACCAGTTGTCTAACTGCAGCCTGGAGCCCAATTGTAGTAACCACTCTTCAGTGGAAACCAGGGAACTTACTAGCACTACCTCAGCCGGGCCCCTAGAGGGCTCTGTGGCAGAAAGGAGCCACAGCTCTGTGAAGCCTTGTGGAGAGCAAGGGGTAGCTTGCAACTGCTGTTTTGAGGTACCTAAATTAAACTTAGAACGTAAAGGTAAGGAAGGAGAAGACCGCGGACGCTGCCGATGGGCCGCAGAGTCTCAAGCGGTCGCTTCCCCACAGAACTTTTACAGCGTTAGCACCGAGCAGCTACCGTCCCCAGATCATGTTAGCTATGACGGACTGCCGTGCTGCTTTTACACAGAGATGACTGTACACAGAGGAAGTGCTAGTAATTACGCTGAAGACTGTTCAGTGAACGTGCAGTACGCCCAGACAGACAGTGACGGATGCATGGGTCAGGCTTGCTGTGAGCTAGCGCAGCGAATACCCATAATTCCTGAAGATACAGACTGTGAATTAGGCTTGGGTCCAGAACCACAAACATGCTTGCTCCCTCCTAGACTTAACCTAGAGAGGGAAGAGAGGACTTCTGAGGAGAATTGTGACTTGTTTTTCACCTCAGGACAATGTAGAGGTCAAGTTTATCAGCAGCCTCAGGATGAAGAGGCGACAGCACTGTTTCCCTCACAGTGTACTGGCGTTTCTGAAACACAAGAGGGTGGCAAAGCATCTTATGACAGATCAGGGCTCTGATAGGAGACCCTAAACCAGCACAGGCTCTTGAAAATCAATAAATGTTCGACTTTTAAATAGTTGTGTTGTCAAAACTCTGGAGTGTACTTATCAGAAATGGTTTGCTTTTCAAATTACGATTTTACAAATTGTTTTTTTGGGGGGGTTTTTTCAGTGTTGATCTTGTTCATTCCTGTGGCCTTCAGAATCCGTCACATCAACACAATGGTTATAGAAGGCAAAAGTACAAAGCTAAATAACAGCTATATTTGAATTTCACATGTGAGTCATACAGAGCATCATTATATGAATGCGTTCTTGATTGGACTAGGACCAGGGATAATGTCTAAATGTATATGACTAACTTTTACGTTTTTATGACAGTTTAGATTATGCCTAAGTTCCATTTTATTAGCGCTAAGATCATTTGAATGCTCTTTTTACATTCAGAATTGCATGCGAGCAGTAAGAAGTCATACAGCATGTACGTACATCTCAGTAAACGAAATAATTTCATTTAGAGAAATAAAAACCAAAATGGAACACTTCATGTGGAGGGAGTGCACATCAGGTGCTGAGGTCATTTCTCACCGACAACTTGGCTAGGTGTAAAATCGGACTTGAATATGTACATCTCCCTCTTTCTCTTCCTCTCTCAGGGCCTTTGTCTTTTTAGTACAGAAATAGACCATTAAAACAATTCCTCTTTTTTTTTATTATTATTATTGTCAATGGAGACTACTGAGCTACATGTATATCACACCAAAGTTTAGTTTGTCTCCAGGGTACAGTCAAAACACCACTGGTTGAATTAGAACCTGACTACTCTAGGGTGTAGGGTGCCTAGTGTTTGACCCCTAAGTTGCTCTTCTTCTTTTTTTAAGCTTGCAGTTTGTCAGAAAGACGCCAAAGTATAATGGTTTAAAGAGATTGGAATGCAGTGGTATATATTTATATGTATCAAAAAGCGCATAATTACCTTTAATAACTACACATTGCACTCATGCTTTACACATACATCATATCATCATGCCTTTCTGTTTTTACAGAGTATTTTATACTGTTTCTATGAAATGTACCCATACAGCTTACACAGGCGGTCATTTTAAAATAACTTTATTTATACATAGACTAAAACAGTGCCGTAACATGAGAATCTACTCTTGCCTTGCATAGAAATATGTACTGCAAATATAGCATTTTTCTGGGTACTTAAGTCACTATTTAATATTTCGTATTGTTTGTAGCACTTAAGATTGTATAAAAGAAAATGTGTACAAAAATTAATATTTTTAAATTTTTTTTTAAAGATATAATTATTTTCTCCATTATCATTTTACAAATGTTAAAGGTTAGAGTTTGATCTGTGTATATTTCTGTATCTGTATAGCAGCACATTTCATAAATGGAAATATGTTCTCTGAATATTTATTGACTAATATATTTATCTTTAAGCCATGTCTTATGTTCAGAGTGTCTGTGAGGTTCTTTTCTTTTTTCTTGAGATCACTAATAAGAGACTTTGTAAATACATGGTAATTGCACACAAGACGATTAAATATTCTCTGACCAAAAACTGATTTAAAAATTTTAGTACAGTTTTGTAACAAAGTGTACAAAGATCTTTAAAAAAATATATGGTTTTATTAAAGTAAAAACACAATTGACTGTTTCATTTTCGCCAAGCACAACACCTCACGTGGATGTTGTTCATGTTATGGACCAGTTCCGCTAATAAAAAGTGTGTGGATTTGATTGAGTCCAGAGGTAGAACTCACACCGCATTATATGAATGATGGGTAATTCATTGGGAGTGTTTATTATTAAACTTACATTGTGCAATGGGAAAAAATAAAACACATTTTTCTTTTTTTATTGGGTCAGCATGTGCTTCCAAATGACCAAAAACCAAACGCACTGTCCAGCTTGTACAAATAAAAATAGTGCTCACATTTAACATTTTGAATATCTCAGGCAAACATGTCACTCAAACCCACAACATTTTAATCTCTTCCATTTTCACTTCAAAGGGTGAAATGTGTTTAATATACCAACAGCATAAATCAATGAACAAAGGTCTTTTCATGCTGAGTTTCCTAAGAGCCATTGCCTGTTGCACAAGTGTTCTGACTTTCCTGTCGTCCCATTGTTTGTAGAACTGCACTCTTTCTTGTCAGAGTTCATTTGGAGAGAAAGCTATACTCATGTCTATATGTGGTAGACAGTCACTCACAGCTTGAATCCTGAATGAATGGCAACGATTCCTCCTGTCAGGTTAAAATACTGGACACGCAAGAAGCCAGCATCCTCGATCATTTCCTTGAATGTTTCCTGTGGAAGACATATAGTATGATAAAGGTTTCTCACAACATATTTTATTAGTTTTCACACAAATACTAAAATGCTTCAATTCACTCTTTGCTTAGATTATCATAGGTCAAATGTTATTTACAATATTGTACAACTTTTGAGTGTCCAGGATATTTTAGCATTGAGAAATCTCTTAAAATTTTGCATTTGAAAAGCTGCAAAAATAAAATAAAAGGCATGGACTAAGGATGTCCCCGAAGGCTAAATCTGAATTCGGATAGTCAATAGCAAGCACGCGTTCAAAAGCGATTTCAATACACCAGACATTGATAACGGCTTCCTGATGCCTGTAAATTATATGCAATATAAATACCCAACCATATAATTGCGAAAACATTCAAATATTTTTTTTTCCATCACCATGCTCCTATTGGGGCTTCGTAGAATTCCTAATTTTCAAACAATTTGGGCTTCGGGTACATCCCTAGCATGGACAACATTTCAGTGTGGTTTTCACATGAAGAAGAATAAATTAAAATGTTGATGAAACACCCTTTAAAGTTCTTAAATTTCAAGACTCAAAACGGGTTTATTTTAGGCAAAATGAAGAAAGACATTTGGATCAAAAGCTACAAGGAAATTATAGCACTTTCACGAAAAAGTCTTTAAACTTTTATTGTGCCATGTCTCCTATGCCTATTAAATAGTTGTATCACTAAGAAATGTGGATTTAGTTTTTTTGTTACCTGGTCTGGGAACTTTCGGATGCTTTCCACCAAATATTGATATGATTTCCAGTCTCCGGCGATCACTTCACCCAACACAGGGATCATCTGAAAACTATATGCATCATACAGCCTGCAAAAAAAAAAAAAAAAAATGTATAATGGCATAAATGCTTCGTGGTATCTCAATATCTCAGCTCTGGAAGGGTCTAGAGCCTCCATTTTTGCACTCGGGTCTAAGTCTCATGGCCCTCTATTAGAATCCAGAGTTTTGAGAAGATTGGGGATACTTAATTTTTCGCCCCCCCAAAAAAAAACGTAGGGGGTAACACTGTCGTTTTTTTTCTGGTCGAAATTTTGAGTTTCGATATTTCACCTCTGAAAGGGTCTAGAGCCTCCATTTTTGCACTCAGGTCTAAGTCTCATGGCCCTCTATTAGAATCCAGAGTTTTGAGAAGATTGGGGATACTTAATTTTTCGCCCCCCCCAAAAAAAACGTAGGGGGTAACACTGTCGTTTTTTTTCTGGTCGAAATTTTGAGTTTCTCTGATCTTCTTGAAACTCTGGAAGGGTCTAGAGTAGGGATGGGCAACTTTGATGATAGTGAGGGCCACAAATATTTTATCATCATTATCCGAGGGCCAAATGTGACGTGCACTTCCACCAATGGGATATTGGAGAATCAGAGGTACCATTTTAGAAGAAAACATATGTAGGTATGTCTTTATTACAGACTCTGAAATGTTTAGTGAACCAACCTGCATTTCCATACTTAATTATTTTTTCTGCTTCTATTCATTAATGAACTTTTTAACAACTTTTTAAAAATATTTGTGAATCATACTTTTCACCATAGGCTGCCGCTTTATCTCACCTACAGAGGGAAGTTTACAGTTAATGAGATACTTGTGGTTTCTCTTGCTGGCTTACAATAGACTGCAATGTCAATGTAAGTGCAGCCAATCCTCATGAGCTGAAACAGAACATCATCGCTGATCCTGTTTCTCTTTTTCGACTTGATATATTTCATTTCCCTTTGAATTCTGTAAATAAGTAGTCCGTTTCCCATCTCGTCTGAAAAGTGCGATTTTCTTGGTTCAGTTTTCTTTTTTTCCCGCTCATGGTTCTCTTCATCCTTGACTGTAGTGACGCTGGTCAGAGTCGTCCAACTAAGCATGTTTTGCACAAAGGCGCCCTCTATCGGTATACTTTAGGGTCTCTGGAAGGGTCTAGAGCCTCCATTTTTGCACTCAGGTCTAAGTCTCAGGGCCCTCTATCGGAATCCAGAGTTTTGAGAAGATTGGGGATACTTAATTTTTCGCCCCCCAAAAAAAAACGTAAGGGGTAACACTGTCGTTTTTTTTCTGGTCGAAATTTTGAGTTTCGATATCTCAGCTCTGGAAGGGTCTAGAGCCTCAATTTTTGCACTCAGGTCTAAGTCTCATGGCCCTCTATCAGAATCCAGAGTTTTGAGAAGATTGGGGATACTTATATTTTCGCCCCCCAAAAAAACCGTAAGGGGTAACACTGTCGTTTTTTTTTCTGGTTGAAACTTTGAGTTTCGATATCTCAGCTCTGGAAGGGTTTAGAGCCTCCATTTTTGCACTCAGGTCTAAGTCTCATGGCCCTCTATCAGAATCCAGAGTTTTGAGAAGATTGGGGATACTTAATTTTTCGCCCCCCCAAAAAAAAAACGTAAGGGGTAACACTGTCGTTTTTTTTTCTGGTTGAAACTTTGAGTTTGATATCTCAGCTCTGGAAGGGTTTAGAGCCTCCATTTTTGCACTCAGGTCTAAGTCTCGTGGCCCTCTATCAGAAACCAGAGTTTTGAGAAGATTGGGGATACTTAATTTTTCGCCCAAAAAAAAAATGTAAGGGGTAACACTGTGGGGTTTTTTTTCTGGTCGAAATTTTGAGTTTCGATATCTCAGCTCTGGAAGGGTCTAGAGCCTCCATTTTTGCACTCAGGTCTAAGTCTCATGGCCCTCTATCAGAATCCAGAGTTTTGAGAAGATTGGGGATACTTAATTTTTCGCCCCCCCCCAAAAAACGTAAGGGGTAACACTGTCGTTTTTTTTTCTGGTTGAAATTTTGAGTTTTGAAATCTCAGCTCTGGAAGGGCCTAGAGCATCCATTTTTGCACTCAGGTCCAAGTCTCATGGCCCTCTATCAGAATCCAGAGTTTTAAGAAGATTGGGGATACTTAATTTTCTGCCCCCCCAAAAAAACGTGAGGGGTAACACTGTCGTTTTTTTTTTCTAGTCGAAATTTTGAGTTTTGATATTTCAGCTCTGGAAGGGTCTAGAGCCTCCATTTTTGCACTCAGGTCTAAGTCTCGTGACCCTCTATCAGAATCCAGAGTTTTGAGAAGATTGGGGATACTTAATTTTTCGCCCCAAAAAAAAAATGTAAGGGGTAACACTGTCGTTTTTTTTTTCTAGTCGAAATTTTGAGTTTTGATATTTCAGCTCTGGAAGGGTCTAGAGCCTCCATTTTGCACCCAGGTCTAAGTCTCGTGGCCCTCTATCAGAATCCAGAGTTTTGAGAAGATTGGGGATACTTAATTTTTCGCCCAAAAAAAAAATGTAAGGGGTAACACTGTCGTTTTTTTTTCTGGTCGAAATTTTGAGTTTCAATATCTCAGCTCTGGAAGGGTCTAAGCCTCCATTTTTGCACTCAGGTCTAAGTCTCATGGCCCTCTATCAGAATCCAGAGTTTTGAGAAGATTGGGGATACTTAATTTTTCGCCCCCAAAAAAAACGTAAGGGGTAACACTGTCGTTTTTTTTTCTGGTTGAAACTTTGAGTTTCGATATCTCAGCTCTGGAAGGGTTTAGAGCCTCCATTTTTGCACTCAGGTCTAAGTCTCGTGGCCCTCTATCAGAATCCAGAGTTTTGAGAAGATTGGGGATACTTAATTTTTCGCCCCCAAAAAAAAAACGTAAGGGGTAACACTGTCTTTTTTTTTCTGGTCGAAATTTTGAGTTTCGATATCTCAGCTCTGGAAGGGTCTAGAGCCTCCATTTTTGCACTCAGGTCTAAGTCTCGTGGCCCTCTATCAGAATCCAGAGTTTTGAGAAGATTGGGGATACTTAATTTTTCGCCCAAAAAAAAAACGTAAGGGGTAACACTGTCGTTTTTTTTCTGGTCGAAATTTTGAGTTTCGATATCTCAGCTCTGGAAGGGTCTAGAGCCTCCATTTTTGCACTCAGGTCTAAGTCTCGTGGCCCTCTATCAGAATCCAGAGTTTTGAGAAGATTGTGGATACTTAATTTTTCGCCCAAAAAAAAAAAAAACGTAAGGGGTAACACTGTCGTTTTTTTTTTCGGGTCGAAATTTTGAGTTTCGATATCTCAGCTCTGGAAGGGTCTAGAGCCTCCATTTTTGCACTCAGGTCTAAGTCTCATGGCCCTCTATCAGAATCCAGAGTTTTGAGAAGATTGGGGATACTTAATTTTTCGCCCAAAAAAAAAAATTTTAAGGGGTAACACTGTGGGGTTTTTTTTCTGGTCGAAATTTTGAGTTTCGATATCTCAGCTCTGGAAGTGCCTAGAGCATCCATTTTTGCACTCAGGTCTAAGTCTCATGGCCCTCTATCAGAATCCAGAGTTTTGAGAAGATTGGAGAAACTTAATTTTTCGCCCAAAAATGAAAAAAAACGAAAGGGGTAACACTGTCGTTTTTTTTTCGGGTCGAAATTTTGAATTTCGATATCTCAGCTCTGGAAGGGTCTAGAGCCTCCATTTTTGCACTCAGGTCAAAGTCTCACAGCCCTCTATCATAATCCAGAGTTTTGAGAAGATTGGAGAAACTTAATTTTTCGCCCAAAAATGAAAAAAAAAAACGAAAGGGGTAACACTGTCGTTTTTTTTTCGGGTCGAAATTTTGCATTTCGATATCTCAGCTCTGGAAGGGTCTAGAGCCTCCATTTTTGCACTCAGGTCAAAGTCTCACAGCCCTCTATCATAATCCAGAGTTTTGAGAAGATTGGAGAAACTTAATTTTTCGCCCAAAAATGAAAAAAACGAAAGGGGTAACACTGTCGTTTTTTTTTTCGGGTCGAAATTTTGAATTTCGATATCTCAGCTCTGGAAGGGTCTAGAGCCTCCATTTTTGCACTCAGGTCAAAGTCTCACAGCCCTCTATCATAATCCAGAGTTTTGAGAAGATTGGAGAAACTTAATTTTTCGCCCAAAAATGAAAAAAAACGAAAGGGGTAACACTGTCGTTTTTTTTTCGGGTCGAAATTTTGAATTTCGATATCTCAGCTCTGGAAGGGTCTAGAGCCTCCATTTTTGCACTCAGGTCAAAGTCTCACAGCCCTCTATCATAATCCAGAGTTTTGAGAAGATTGGAGAAACTTAATTTTTCGCCCAAAAATGAAAAAAACGAAAGGGGTAACACTGTCGTTTTTTTTTTCGGGTCGAAATTTTGAAATTCGATATCTCAGCTCTGGAAGGGTCTAGAGCCTCCATTTTTGCACTCAGGTCAAAGTCTCACAGCCCTCTATCATAATCCAGAGTTTTGAGAAGATTGGAGAAACTTAATTTTTCGCCAAAAATGAAAAAAAACGAAAGGGGTAACACTGTCGTTTTTTTTTTCGGGTCGAAATTTTGAATTTCGATATCTCAGCTCTGGAAGGGTCTAGAGCCTCCATTTTTGCACTCAGGTCAAAGTCTCACAGCCCTCTATCATAATCCAGAGTTTTGAGAAGATTGGAGAAACTTAATTTTTCGCCCAAAAATGAAAAAAACGAAAGGGGTAACACTGTCGTTTTTTTTTCGGGTCGAAATTTTGAATTTCGATATCTCAGCTCTGGAAGGGTCTAGAGCCTCCATTTTTGCACTCAGGTCAAAGTCTCACAGCCCTCTATCATAATCCAGAGTTTTGAGAAGATTGGAGAAACTTAATTTTTCGCCCAAAAAAAAAAAAAAAAAAAGGGGTAACACTGTCGTTTTTTTTTCGGGTCGAAATTTTGAATTTCGATATCTCAGCTCTGGAAGGGTCTAGAGCCTCCATTTTTGCACTCAGGTCAAAGTCTCACAGCCCTCTATCATAATCCAGAGTTTTGAGAAGATTGGAGAAACTTAATTTTTCGCCCAAAAATGAAAAAAAACGAAAGGGGTAACACTGTCGTTTTTTTTTCGGGTCGAAATTTTGAAT